GTGATGAAACATTGGTTGTAAATAGGGGACACGCTGAAATAGAAAATTTGAAATTTCGTTTTCTGAGAAAAGTGCTTAAGTACAGCCACATTAGTGGGAACTTTATCTGCGATCATTCTGACCTAAAATTTTACGAAAAATTGATTGGTGGTCGTTCAAGAACACGAAAACACTCCCTTCTCCCCAGCGGATTAAAAAATAGTCGGAATTCTACCAGCATTTCAACGAAGAGTTGATTGGTGAAAGTACGGGATAATAATAAATAAGTTTCTTTCTTTAGAAATTAAATTAAGAACTCAGATGAGACTTTCTTCATAAAGACCAATGATTTGCGAATTATTGATATCGTAACGCGAGGCAAAGAAAAACAAGCGTATAAAAATGTAACATAATTGTAAGAAATGCTGTACATAAATAAATGGTAAATAATACAAGAAATAGATGATTTTTAGTCAAACACTTGATTAAGATCTGTTATATCTAGGTACTATCAGGTAAGTTCATCCAGAATACCCTACTACTCGGGGCCATAAGCCTGCACAGTTTACGTATAATGTCTTGTTTTTTGGGAGTAGCTATCCCCCGGGGCTCTTCCTGGGCGAAAGCTATTTTGCAACCTATGGAAATGAGTCTTTCGTCTTTTTGTCTGAGAAATGGAGTGAAATGAAAGGAAACCTCGTCATGATTTGTTTTCCATTCCATTTCTACAGACCCACGCTGGAAACTTACAACTTTAACATCTTTTAAGAGAGGTCTCTCAGTTTTACAACGGTTGCTTGTTCCGTAGGACCTTGGCCACGATTCAAAGTCTGTGCAGTTCATGCTTATCGCAGTACCCACCTGTTCAACTGCCTGAACAAAGTCCTTATAATCATGAAGTTGACGTGATTGTTTAATGGACAACTCCACTTTATGGTGAAATGAGTCTGCACTCATAAAGGTGTGCCCTGGCTCTAGATACTTGACCGTTATCTTGTCTAGGTCAACATATGGGCTGTTGATAATTGAACATAGGGCAGTAAATAAAGTCCAACACTTGTTTTGAGCAGAACAATTGTCTGCCCAAAAAATGATCTCCCTGCTACCACCAATCTTGCCTGCGGCAAAATGTTTTATTGCCCTTATCCAAGTCGAGGACACATTCTCATCTTTCCTTCCTGCGATTGACTCATTCCAAAGAATCGCTAAAGGAGCTCCGTCTGACCCCAGCCTCGCGAAGGTCTCGTTAAATGTGACAAGGCGTCTTGTAAAAATCGCCTCCTTGTACTCCGGCATGTGTGTAGTAAAAGAACTTTCTCCATATCAACAGAGAAGGAGCAGTGAGGCAAATCGCTTCTATCTCTTTGGTAATGTTCCCTTGCCTGTCGATAATCCCGCCAGTCTCAACTTATAAGAGAATTAAAAATTTTAAAGCAAATTATGACGTATATTTTGAAACGTTCTGCATTGACAAATCGGCAATTTTGACGGTGAAGCTAGCGTTTCTGAAGTTTATGACCATCACCAATCGATCCGCCGGGAAAATTTAGATCTGTTAGTACCGATTATATAGTTTCAGTTGGCAGAATCAACATTTAATTAAACGTATAATGGCACTTAAGCACTTTTGTGAGAAAACGAGCCCGTTTTCACAAAAGTGCTTAAGTGACATAAATTGTTTTTTCCCAGGCCAAAAGACCCACGATCAACAAATTGCCGTCACTAGGCCAGTTTTGGACGTAGAAAACAATGCCACCGTTTTCAGTTCCCGAAATGGCACCATTTTTGAAATAAACGGCACCCGTTTTCCAAAATTTTACTTAAGTTAAGCACTTTTCTCAGAAAAATGACCATTTTTTGCATTTTAGGGGGTTCCAAAAAGGGGGTTTTGGGGGGTCGGCGAATGTATCCAACGGTCCTCAGGGATAGTTCTTGACCCAAAAACAAAAGTTAGACCAAAAAGCCCGAAATTTCCAAAATGACTTTTGTCAGAAAACGGCAGCACGGAAGTTCAAGTATTGATAAAATCGATCACGGGTAATAGGTGCGCTGTTGAAATGGTTCAGTGGACCCCTCTTAAGTTCGTTTACCAGCTGCATTTTATTTCGGATCATGGGTTTGCTGTACGCTATTAAAATTTCTATTCGAAATATACTTGTACTGAATGTAACTAGCAGATATTTTAGCTGGTACCGTACATATTCGTATCGTATTTTTGGCCACATTGACGGTCCTTTACATTTAGGCCCGCAAACTGAAAACGTACTCCATCGTTAACTGGTGCTACTGCAAATAACACTGTTTGTCTGTTTGAATCCATGCTACCACATGATTACTGTGTCCTTGCTTAAAAATTAACTGTGGACGTAACTAGCGTGATCCGCGTCCGGTTCGTTCAGTGGACCCCTCTTTAGTTTGTTTACCAGCTGCATTTTATTTCGGATCATGGGTTAGAGCTTTGCTGTACGCTATTAAAATTTCTATTCAAAATCCTGCATGCAGTTACTTTGTTACTGTATATTTCAAACATTATCACCTGTAGAGCTTGGTGCAGAATATAGGAGCACCGTAAACGAACTAAAGAGGGGTCCACTGAACCATTTCAACAGCGCACCTATTACCCGTTATCGATTTTATCAATACTTGAACTTCCGTGTTATCTCATCTAAAATGAACACCCCGCACACAAAATGAATTCCATTGACTTTGAGGGCAAGTGCAGCATTTAATTATTTAAAGTTACACAAACTCTTATATTACAATTGCGAGAAGGATTCCAAGTTTACATATTTAAAACGGCAATGACTAATTACACAGCACAAATTGAAATTTTGAGTGTCTAACCTGGTAAAAATGAACTGCACCATGTTGGCATGTTGAACTAGTACTTCAACTCTGTCAGGTATAACCATACTTGTCCTCCTGTATACTGCCTCCTCCTGGAACATACAGTTCTTGTCAGTGAAGTCGTGTCCTAGATTATGTTTTCAAACACTTACTGTCTAAGTTAAGAAAAGGAGCACTCATGGATATATACATTATTCCTTTGCTTCCAGTTGGTGTAAACTTAAAGCACAGTTCATCATTTGGAATCTCACTCAGTTCATAATCGAGACCTCATATTAGAGTAAATGTTTTTAATAATACTAATCTCCGCAATTAAACAATTAAACCGAAACATGCTATAACTAAACAATGTTAATGTTCCGTTCATGATTGAACGGTTAGCATCACAGTCAGTTGGAGGAGCGACCAACACACTATCAAGATCGGTTGTTTATCTTAAACCCCCCCCCCCCCCCAACAGTTTGTATTGTACGTGGGCAATGGGCACGGTTATATAAGTACTTAGTACAACAATCACACTATTTCAAGTTCATGACGTAATCATGGCGTGTTTACCGCGGTGCAGATATTGCACGCGGACCTTGCCAAGCCGATATGTGGTAGAGATAACAATGTGAACAGAGGGTCAAATAAAGATAAGGAAAGTAAACACACGATATCGATCTGGTCACTCTTCCTGTTTGTGATTGGACGGATCGGTGTCACATGACATAACACCTCTATTACAAGTGGTCGCTCGTTGAGGATCACGGAGCACATCAGGGCTGCCCGTCGTCAGAATAAATTTAATTCAGTTGTTAGTATGATTGTTATATTGTGGTGTTGGTAACCTACCTTCATTGTGTTTCTTTTGACTTTGTTATCATGCTGTGCTCTGGAAATTGTGATAGTACCTGTTTGATTTGTTAAGGAGACGATCTCCTTGTTCATATGTTACAGGATCAGAATGTTCGTGAGGAACAGTCACCAAAAGTGAGTTGCTTACCTGCTGTGTGTTTTCGTACTCTGGTCTTCACTCAAGTTCCAAAGCTGCAATAAACGTATCGCAAAGAACATTTATATCTGAAAATTGTGTTAGTACCAGTTTGATCAGTTAAGGTGAGGATTGCCTCGATCTGTCGGGTTCAGCTTAACTGCCTAGGTCATGAGTAGAACCGAAGGATCAAAACATATGTTGCTTGTTGCTCGTATCAACTGTAAAACATCAATTTTGAGGGATAAGGAAGTGTTTAAAGGTTCTGAAACCTAGCTAAATCGATTTTTCGTGCAATTTTAGGTCAGAAACAGTCATCAAAATGAGTTAATAAGAAGGTCGATTTCTCGGTTATTTTTGAGCTTTCGTTCAGAAAATAATTCGGGGCCTTCAAAGGGGGGTAACAAGAAAGCGTTACAAGTGTTACATGCCTTCTATAATACAAAATGTGTATCACCTCTTCAACCCGCCGAACATGTGCTTACCCTAAAAGTGTAAACAAATGTGTTTCACCTCCTCAACCCGCCGAACATGTGCTTACTATTAAAGTAAACAAATGTGTTTCACCTCCCCGCCAGTATCCACATCTATTAGTTCAATTGACCAGTGAATTTGCTTTCTCCTTATATTATATTGTTATATTAACTAGAGAATTAGTCTTCCTTTTATATCAATAAACAATCTTATGTTTAATAATCGACTTTGACTTACTTAATCGATAGCTTAAATACAGTCTGTTGTATTTACTTTAATTTACCTAGCTAATATGCTACACCTCAACTTAAACCAAATTGAACAATATTATTTCTCCAAATACAACCGCTACACCCCAGGAACATGGAAGACGCGAACATATCCCCAACATCAGACCAGACTCTCCCCACCACCCCACTGTTAGCAGACTCTTGGAGCTGGCTCGAGAACGTCACCGCGGCCCCTGCCGGTATCCTCATCATCCTCTTCCTCTTGTTATCTGTTAGTCTGGGGACCCTATTCAACTTCATCATGGCAAGGACTGCTTTCTTGTGAGTTTAGTGGGTTTTTAATTTATTTGATTGGTATTTTGCCAGTTTTGTAACAGATGGTATAGAATGGGTCTAGGTTGTACTTGTAAGGGATCGTTCACATACTACGTCAGTACCAAGGGAGATATATGTGAACTTCCCACGAGATGCTTGCATTCGGTTCGTTCAATTAAAACTTCTTTACTTAGAATTTGAATCTAAGATTATATCAATACATAGACCATAGTACATACACACAAAAAGTTTTGGATACAGCCACATCTTGATCTCCGAAAAGCTAAACAAAATGAATCTTCTACTGGAAGTAGCTAAGGGATGTTAAAAATTAAAATATCACTGCTGACCATTTCTTCCCTTTTCTCCTAATTTATATAGTTTAGTCGCCTACTTACACCCTCTTCGTCAAATAGTTACGTTTCGAAAAAAATTAGGAAATATTGGGCACCGTTAACATACAATAAAATCGGACACCAACAAAAATAATAATTCAAATTATTGATAAAACTTCTCGACTTTAAACTTAAGATACTATAAGTATAACAATTGATAAAATCAATATACAACTAAGACTCTTAGTCGTATATTGATTAGTAATAGTTATATCGTCTACTCTAGCACAATATTATCGTCATCATCCTCTAGATCTAGGTTCTTGGCAATCGCCCACTCACAAAACTCGTCAAACAAGATATGTCCTCCGCCGTTCTTATCGATCTTCGCAAACTCTCCCTCCATATCTCCGATGGGCCCCACCCAAACCTCGATCTTCTCCTGGGCATGATGAAACTCGAACAAACTAATTCTCTTGTCTCCGTTCGCGTCAGTACGAGCGAAGGCTTCCCAGTACTCAAAGTACTGGCGCAGAGAGAGGAGGAAGAACCTAAACTCCTTGAACTCTATGTAGTCGTCACCCATGGCTCCTCTGCTGGAAACACCCCGCTTCTTGGCTATCTGGAACGCTCGCATGATAGCAGCTTTGGCATCGAAGATCTCGTCGATCTTCAAGACGTCCCGGATTCCCTTGTCCACCTCGGCCAGGGAAAGGATACCGTTTCCCGCGTCCATTTGCTTGAACAGGTCCTTCCTCTTAGCCTTGGCTGCTCCGGTTCTCTCGGTTGGCAGTTTGGCGTTGAGGTCGGTCCAGTCGATAGACATTGTGTGTATTTCCTAGATTGAAGTGGATAATGTTAATTATCATTGAATATCGATTGTTAGATCAACCAAACTATAAGAAGTATATTGAAACATATTATGAAATGCTAATAAGTTCACACGACCCAAATGGTTTCAACATGAACTTATTTGAAATTTGAATCCAATCATAAATGCAAATGAGAAAAAAAGAAATTAGAGAAACCTATCAATCCCGTACTTATATCCATAGTTTACGTGACTAATGAAGCAAGCTCTGAAGTACAAACATCGACAACTACCTACTTAAAGAAGTTTAAAATCTAATGGATACGAAATAAGGTTATTATATATTGCACACCAGTTCCCAAGCAACGACAAAGCCTGCTTGATAAAAGTGATTAGAAGCTGAGAATTAGAGAGACAAATCGAGTAATATCACAAAAGAATTCCAACAATCATGTGCTCAGCAATCTGCTTCTATCAACAAGGAAACAAGCATGAAATACGAAATTATATAGTGCAATCTGCTTGAATATTTATTGTTCTTCAGTCAACATGCTTAAAATGCACTAAATCCAGACTGATTATAAGATTAGTACAATGACATCGAGCCACAGATCTCAGCTGAAATAAGTATCGAGCTCTGCTGGTCTGAGAACAGTGTGTGGGAACATGGTGGGTAGTACTGTAGTAGTCGAGACCGGTTAAATTAGCAGGTTAAACCGTTACTCAGTAACTCAGCAATAATACGGTGGTTCTAGGACCAGCTCAGTTAACTTTATAACCGCGGTCGCCACTGCAATTGTTCACGGCACCAACAGCTGCTATTGGGGGTTGAGTTCTGAGAGCTTATAGCGCTCAGGAAATGAGCAGCAGCTCCCAGCTACACACACCAACAAGCGTTAAATACAAGTTAAATGAGCTGTGCAGCAAGTGAGAGCTCAGGACTGCACTGGACATTACCAGTAAATGGGTCTCTACGGATCATTACTATAACTATTAGTAGTCATGGTAACCCCGACTGTTTATCAATGGCATGTGTCGTTTGGGGGAGGAAGTTAAGGAGTTGTCATGGTCACGGGCCTTATTTAGCAATTAGTCTAAAGAAAATGGTAACGAGAAATAGAATGGAGAGTAAACGCAGACCACTTGTATTTAGATATGAAGGCTAGCGTCACAGATATGCTACAAGCATTTGCAGGCGCCTAGAAAACATCACCGACGTGGCGAAAATGGCTCACAACCGAGTAAGTAATATAGCGTAATGATGTGTAATGGCTCGGTCTCAGGAGATAAGTGATTTCGCGAGAGTGAGAAACCTTGCAGATTATTCAAATGTTATACACGCAATATACAAGTGTTCGAGAATTGATCCACATGAAATGTCGGGCAATGGCCGTTATGAATTTTCCGTTATTATTAAATGATTTGTCATGCTGATCGACGAACTGCAATAAATTGCACCCCTCTTTTACTCAGCAACGGGTAAAATGGCAAAGTAAACTAAACGATTGCTCTAACATAACTCCAATCTCAATCTGCACTGTGTACAATTAAATAACTAACCGGCCGGAAAAGACAATGTATTCCACATGAAATTAGTTGAATTCCAACATTTAAGATGTAAACGAGCCATTGACAATAGGAGGGGACTAAAGAAAGCTGGACGGCTGTAATTAGAGTACACACAAGCTGAGATAATAGAAAAATTATCATCTGACATTAAGGCAGTATATCGGACGTCAAATAGGACTTAATTTTCTTTGATATTTGATTGGTCCTGGGACCGTGATGACCATTGCATATTATGTTGGCGTTATTCATTATTGTGTAATTTGTCGTTAGTTATTAACTAAACGAGGCAATTAGTGATTTCCGGAGAAGAATATGACTGCTGGAGAGCCAAGTTAACCACCGCGCTGGGCGCTGGATAAAAACAGCATATAAACAACATAAATGTTCATTATTTTATGGTCAACACAATGTCAATTGTCAATACAAGTTACAACGGCTTTGCCCTTACAGCGTAAACAAAATTTGACTGAGGCTCAAATCTCAAGATCCAGGCTGTCACGTTTAAAGATTAAGAGATATGCTACAGTAATTATGGAACCCAACAACACAACAACAACAACAAAAGCAGGAAGGTTAATCTTATAGCGGTAGTAGTATAAGTGGTACGAGCGCGGAGGGCTAAGAGTTCAGAATGACACGTCGCACTCTACTCGCTAAGAAAGTATGTAAGGGAGGTAGGAAGTGTAAAATAAGGAAGGAAAATAAACAATGTTAAAGGATTATAGTACGATGATGTAATCGTGTCTCTAACATTTACGCTCAGGCGATAAAATTTTAAAGTTTCTGACGAGAAAGGATCACGCACAGTAAAATAATAAATGAGATTCAGTTACTCGTAGAAAATCTAGCAGGCACCATTTTATCAGAAATAGCAAGATAAATAATGTAGATAAGTTCCTGTTATCTTATCTGATTTTGAGTGCAAAGTTCTTAATCTTAGTTTGTGAGTGAGATGCTTTGAGTTTAGCGTAACAGTTAAAACCAGAGAAGCGCTCTCTTAGAGTGTAGACACGACAGCTCATGAGTGTAAGAGTATAAGGAGTTAGCACTGAAGTAGCAAGGATCAGACAGCACCGATCATTAATGGATGAAATAGCACAGAGGGTGTCTGATAGTTGCGTGACGTAAATCACATTCGCAGCGGGCAGCACAATGTGAGTGGTTTACTACACTCTAATGTAGATCCAATAATAGAATTTAAGTGCCTCTTATCCTATTGAGTTTAAATGGGACCACCGATTACTTTTGTTCGAAATTTAAAAATTATCAAATATCAATCTAATTCTAAGCATTAAAAATACAAGGCGATCAGGGAAGACTATACACGAAATATATCCTCAATTTAGCAATGTTCAAAAGTATATATCCTCAATTTAGCTATGTTCAACTGTATTAGAGTATTAAGTTCTGAACTTTGAGCAGGAGTACGAGTGACGTTAGGAAATATTGGCGGGAAGAGTTCGTTCTTAACTCCTTAGTCGACCTTGATATCTGATCCTTCGATACAATTCATTTATATAGTTAATTTATTTCGGGCTGGAGTCACAGCTTAGCAGCTGGCTGCCAGCCCTCGAACATTTATCGAACGGTTACCAACTGCAGATAAAAGATATTAGACAATAGATGTATGGTAGTACAATATGTACTATATAATATGAAATATGGGTATGAAGTTTTCATTATTGAAATTTTGTTCAGGTACAGGAAGAAGTCAATGTACAAGTTCACCTCACATCTATTGATAACTCTGGGAATGGTTGACTTTTTGTACACTGCAACTCAGGGATTTCAGATAATTTACTATTTCCTTGCAGGTAATTTGTATTTTTAACAGTTTAACAGTATTTAACAGTTTAGTCTTACGAAATATAAACTGGTGCCGGAAGTTTAGAAGTGGTTATACTTAGCCAAGAAGAGGCTAGGGTCCAAGAGGTTTTGGTAAGTTTTCGTACGATTAATTTCATTATATTTTCATTCTTTAGAAAGAAATACAAGCAGATCAATCGTTTCAAATTAAAAATTTGAAATCATGTGCTTAAATCTTTTACATATGTTTCCAAAATGAATACAAATAACTTGAATGAAGACAAAAATCACTAAAATATCTTCGACAGGCGGCAAATTAATTAACAACTTTACTGATAAGAATTCTTAGTTAAATATATCTGTCATCAAGTCCATAAATAATAAATATGGTTCTAAACCAAAACGGTAATTATGCCGTCAGTTATCGTCTATTATTCGATGGTAACCTCTATTCGTCATCGTCCTCCAAGTCAAGACTCTTAGCAATGGCCCACTTACAAAACTCAATGAAGAGAATCATACCACCATCGTTCTCATCGATAGTATCGAACTCTTCTTGGAGATCACCAAAGTTTGTGATCCACTTCTTCATGATCTCCTCGGCTTCACTGAACTCTTCAAAAGAGATTCTCCTGTCATCATCTTCGTCTATCCTCTTAAAGGCAACCCAGTACTCAAAGTACATCCTAAGTCCAAGAAGGAACCGTTTGAACTCCAACTTCTCGATGTAGTCATCGCCGATATCAGCTCTTCCTTTGCCGCATGCTTTGGCAGCTTGGAACGCTCTCATGATGGCTGGTTTGGCATCGAAGATCTCGTCAATGGCGAGGACATCCCTGATAGCCTTGTCTACCTCAGCCAGAGACAGGATGCCGTTGCCGTTAGGGTCGAAGGTGTCGAACATAGCAAACCTTTCATCTCGCTGATCGGCTCGAGTTGGCAGCTTCTCGTAAATTTCTTCCCAGATTGGCTCAGACATTATGATGTAGTGTTCCTGTGTGGTTTAGTATGTTGGTAGTTTAGTTAGTTAGTTGCTTGTTAAGAGGTGCTGTACCAACGAAAATTATTTTAAACGGTAAAATACAAATACTTTTGCTAATATCGTTTACCAATGTAGATACATTAAAAATAAAAAAAATCATTCGATCAAATAATCAATTTCACCAATCAGGGAAAGCAATGACAGAATCCTGTGGGATACTGGCAACATTCGGACTATTTCTGGTTTTGACAGAACAATTAATCTTCTGTTGGCTCATAATGGAGCGGATCAACTCAGTTTTTAGGTAGGAGACTTCGTTAAATCTTATCACACTGATTGCTATTTTCAAGCCTTCAAATTAAAGCTTTAAACTTAACATTAGCGGTTGGAAATAACGGCTTATTATTCTCAAAATGTGGCAGTGACTATCAGTATAAAAAGCAGTATGCTAAATGCTTGCAATTTGCATCCTTGCCTGATGAGAAACTTAAATTGTTTCTAGTTCTCCAGATAAACAACTTCATTTCCAGCATAAGAAAGATTATAGAAAAACGGCCAAATGATTGTTAAATTGTGGTTTATATTTCACTATTTCAGACCAATAGAGCATCATCTGATGTGTCCAGGAAGAAAAACGTGGGTAGATCTAGTCTGTATCACGACAATCAGTCTCACATTCAGTATCTTGGTGGCTTATCTGACTGGCACTCAGTTCTGTCCTTACAGAGGTAAATTCACAGCATCAGAAATTAGGAATTAAATTCAAATCTCGGGAAATTACGAATTAAATTATTGTTTAGTTGGACAGAAGAAATAAAATTCAAAGTGTGAGTAACAGAGTATGCGATTCATTGCAAACGATGCATTTCGTACGATAGCCACTCTTTTATACAATAATGGTGTAGAGGTTTAAAAAGTTACGTAATGAGGAAGAAGTTGAAAACTTTACGTAATTGTTTTTAAGCGTTAAAAAGCTCCGTAAAACGAAAGAGCTGACCTCACTCAAAACTGGAACGTTCGAACTGATCGAAATCGTGACTACGCAAGCTTTAATAGCAGTTGAGCTCATCTCACTTTGTGAAGCATTGAATAAGCTGCACATTGCCTCTGCTTCTCGCAAACGCTTCGACAAGCATCGCGGTTATCTGCTACTGCTTGATTGTTTGCAAGTAAAGGAAGCAGACTTTCGGCCTTCTATACAGACGTATTCTCTGTCTCTATGACAATTGTGGGATAAATCGAGAGAAAGAAAGCGATTACAATAGCACAAAAAATAAGAAGCAAGAGTGAATTGTACTAACTATAGCCAGGCTTTGAGTGCTCACGATTTTATTTCCAAAACAAATTTTCTCATTAGCTATATTACTACCCTTAACTCTGATGGTTACTTAGAGGAATATTTTAAGTTAATATATCCAGACTCTCTTACTCTTAATAAGGAAAATGAAGTAGATAGTGCCGCCAATGTATTAGATCTTGATATTTCGATAAATAGCGAGGGGAAGTTTTCGTGTAGAGTTTATGATAAAAGGGATAAGTTTGGTTTTAAAGTGGTCAAGTTTCAACCTTTGATGAGTAATCAAGCTAGTAGTGTATTATATGGCACGTACTGTTCACAGGTTGTGAGATATTCTAGGATATGTAATAACGTTGTTGCTTTTTCTGATAGGGTTTTGAAGTTTACTGATGATTTAATTGAGTTGGGTTTTAGACGGGATCGTCTTAGTAAAATATACTTATCAGTGGTAAAGAGGCATGGGCTAAAGAATAAGTTTGGTATTGGGTGTGGAAATATATTAATGCCATAGCCTGACCTATGGCATCCTTTTCTAATGTTACGAAATATTTGTCGCACGTGTTGAATTTAGTTTTATAATAACTTTGCGGCGGCGCAAATCGGAGTTCTAGGATTACGCGGGAAATTACGCGGGAGTAATTGTAGTTTGGGTCAGTTCGTTGTATGACGTGTTGACTACGTTTACTTAGTATACTTTATTCCTACCGTTTTATTACACATTTTACTTTATCTACCTATCACTACAGTATACATATTTAATCTTAAATTATCATTTTAGTGGAACTATGTAAAAGGGGATCGTTGCTAGCGTTAAAACTGTTTTAACCCTGCCATAGTCAGTTGAAAGTCTGATAGCATATGTTCCATTTGATTTGACCAAACTAATGCCTTTCATTGCTTTATAAGTAGATACAACTGCTGCTTTTTGACTCACTAAATACGATTACGTACCTAATAAAAGTTTGTATGACTTTTAATAGTTAAAATCTTAAGAACTGCAGATCTGTTTCTCACCTCGTACATTCATCATGCTTATGAAGTTCCTCATAGATCTGCTCCAAAAACTTTAAAAAATAACATCGCGGGCGCACGGTGGCGTCATCTTTTTACTAAGTTGAAGAGCGCCGACACGTCTTGGATGATCGATTATCATAATCAAGTTACACTTTGCGAAATATCAAATAAACCACCCTCGAAACGTTTGGGTAGTTATTAGTTAAGTTAGAAAATTAAATTTTGATCATGCCGTGGAGAACGAATTCGATTAGGTCGAACGAATTCGACCTTATTCGTCATTACAGTGTTTGTGTTATGGTGCTATGGTAACTTGGTGATATAGTAACTTGTTGTCAATGACTACGCATAAATAGTAAATACAAGGCATGATAGATGAAGCGGTTATCGGCAATCCCACTCAAATTTGATAAACTCAGCTAGTGGCACTTTTAGGCGTTACCGCCTGCAAATTCCTAAACCAATTGATCAACCCAATCTGGATCCATACCAACGAACAAACTTGTATCCCAAATTTGTAACCCACTAACCACATGACCACTCCCTTAGGAAGATGCTGGGTAAAGAAGAGTTCCACACATCATACCCTAGTTACCCTTCTGCTGACTCTATCAGGTCTGCTGCCCCTCCTCCTCGCTCTCCTCCTCCTAGCACGTGTGATGTGTCTCCAACACACCAACTCACGAGCTCTCTCCACACTCGGATCTATGGTCTTGGTCTACTTTCTCAGGTTCATCTTTCATATTTTAACTTTACCTTGCCTTTTTTGTTTTAAAAGGTTTAACTGTTAGTGCCTGTCATGATATCATGGATTGCTTAGGTTCCACCTGCACCAGGATCTGGTAGTCCTCATAATTCTGCGGCCTCTATGTATCGTCATCTCGCACAACTCCGTAAGACCCTTGTGAGTTTGGCATTTGAAAATTTGCAGCCCAGACATTGATTGGGTTAACGAGGTGTCGTACGTCACCTCAAGATCGGGTGACAGGGGGCTGACCAGGTCAGAACCCAATTGATTGGGTCTGACTCTGAGGGATCCTCTTATTTGTAAAGCTATCCTCAATACATATGCAGTAACAAAGTGTGATAACCGTTTCAACAGGGGTCGAATTCACAAAAATAACGTAAACCATTGATTTAAAGTAACCGCCTCTCCTCAAGGACAAAAGAAAATCGCGATTATTTGGGCCAAAAATCGCGGCGCCGCGACAAATCAAACTAGGCAAAATCGCGGCGAATTTGCGGCGAAAGATAATGTATTTGCAGAGCTAAGTTAGATGTCATAAATTCGTTAAATAGCTTGTTAGTATAGATAGATTAGGGAGCGACAGGCTCCTCAGGCAAAACAATAGCATCTAGAACTATATTAATAATATTAAGTGTTAAGATCTAAACAGACTCTTCTTCATGATGTTGTTACATGAATTATGAATTAGGGATGCACTGGTTCATAATCATAGGATTAGGGTAATGAAAATTAATAGTTGGTTTGTGTGTAGATAGTAGGTCTGTGCGGCTTCTAGTGATAATATAAAATTATTATAATTATTACGTAAGAATTATTATAAAAGTTATGTTTATGGACACGTTCATTTGAATTTGAGGATATTGGTAAACAAAAATAATAGCGTTTTCGACGATAGTGGCTTAATTTTGACATCTATTAACCTAGCACGTTCAGAAGTTCTGAACATTAGCCACGTAACCCTTACTCCCATATGCACTGCTCAGAAAGAAAATCTATTGTTGTTAGGTACTATAATGTTTCAAATGTCACATTTTGTGTGACTTAGTTAACTGCAGTTGTCTATATTATATTATCATTCCTTGGTCTGAAATATAGTAGATTAGGCCAATCTAACAATTATGATACAACATTGGTTAAAGGGCACGGATCGAACGGTTACCAGGGAATATTTGGGTAACTTTGTCACACTCAGAATAACATACCTCTATTCTACTGTGAGGTGTCATAAAAACCCTTTCAACTCATTATCTGATGGTTGATCTACCAATCATAGCCCTAAAATATGTTGTTTTGAATAGTTAGCTAATACAGGCACTTGGTTATTGGGAAATGAGGTTAATTCTGTCACATTATATGGAATTTTAAATTTTTGGCGAATTACTTATATCTGATTTTGGTTTGAAAGGCGGGAAAACTTTATATGATGACAATGTAGTTGATGCAAGTTAAGATCAGTTGATGTTTACATTGTCACAAAATTGATACGAAATCGTAAATAGGTTAAAAACAATGATTATAGAATGAAACAGTCTCTTTTAATACCTCTTAATTCTTATAATAACTGATGTGACAAAGTAAACATGTCTTGCCCCTATTTTGAAGATCTATATTCTATAACTCTATTAGAATTCAACATTCTTTCAGAAAAAATTGGTAGAATATTGTCCAGAATATCAGAGCTTAAGTTTGACAATTTTAGGTTAAATTCGTCAAAGTCACTAAAAATGTGACAAAATTAACTTTCCCTGCCCTAACAATTTCAAGATAGTGTAAAAATTAGCATAGGCTGCTTTATTACCTATATAGATCAATCCAAACTACAAAAAAATATATGTTAATGTGATGACGACTACCTAACTCTTATAATAACTAATGTGACAAAGTAAACATGTCTTGACCCTATTTTGAAGATCTATACCTCTATCAGAATACTATGTAACTTTATCATCAAACAA